AATATTATCCAATCACAAAACCCCGACAATATGTGCCAGGCACTTAATAACGAAGCTTCTAAGAAAGTTTGGTCAAAATCCGTTGAGAAATGTAGGAGGAGTTGCGCACAGAAGAAATTGTTCACTATATATTCTGTATAAGGAAAAAAAACAAAGGGCCATAATTAGGTCAAATATACACCAATTGCAAAACCTCGGCAATATGTGTCAGGGCACTCTATGACAAAGCTTCTGTGAAAGTTTGGTCAAAATCCGTTGAGAAATGTAGGAGGAGTTGCGCACAGAAGAAATTGTTCACTATATATTTTATATAAGGAAAAAAAACAAAAGGGCCATAATTAGGTCAAATATTATCTAATCGCAAAACCCCGACAATATGCGCCAGGGCACTTGATGACAAAGCTTCTGTGAAAGTTTGGTCAAAATCCGTTGAGAAATGTAGGAGGAGTTGCGCACAGAAGAAATTGTTTACGCCCGCGTCCCGCCCGCCCGCCGACATACCTCAATCTAATAACCAGTTTTTTCCTTCGGAAAACCTGGTTAAAAATCAGTATGCTACATCTGTCTCGGTCATTGCATATATGATACTTCTTTTTTTTTCTTTCTTTTTTTTTTGGGGGGGTTGGGGGGAGGGAACTCAAAACATTGCTATACGGTATCAGACTACATCTTATGCTAGCGAGTCCAAATAGAATTTAACTAGACTCCCACACAGGTTTTACTAGTTTTTCTCAGACTGGTGTTTAGTCATAATTTCTGTTCTATATCAATCATCATCATTTTATAAAATTCTTATATTTACTTTGTAACAACATATTAATCAAACATTTTAAATTTAAATCAATGAGCTCAGTCAACATAATTACATGTTTGTTATTATACATGTAGGTCCCAGTGACCTATGTGAATTATAAGCATTTTGATAAATTTAATGGCCAATTTATGTTTTGATATGAATACAGATCCTAGACCCAGAAAATTAGTTTAAAGTTGATACTTATCTATTTTAAATTGATTGTGTTGGAAGCTATAAGCTGATTGAAACACTCTCGAATCTGTTCATGGAAAAATCTACTAATAAGTAATGAATTTAAAGTTTCTTACTTATGGAAACAACAGCTAGTGCCCCTGAGATTACTAGTCTGACATGTTAAACCATATGGCCACGGCGCCACTCAAGAGTAAAACTTGATGTGGCAGGTAGAACCCACACAAACAGTTCCAATGAAATAGCTTTGTCGGTATTTAATTTAACAACCTAACCCAAAACCGAAATGTGGAGCTAAAATGTTTAGCTAATTATGCACACCTGATGAATAAATTTGTATTTAAATTGTATCCTATTACATTTAAAATATCAAATAACAATCTACATGTCAATAATACTGTACAGACTTTCACAAACTATCAGAAAAAATAATCAGGTACAAGCAGATCTCAGTGTTAGTGTTATCTGTAGACATTACCACCGCGTAACCAGCCCAGGTGAATCTAGGGATATAAACTGAACTATCAAACCCAACATATAGGCCCTTGTATTTGGGGTTGGCCTGAATTGCTCTCACTTTGCCTGTTGGACAACAAAAACAATACCACTGCAATATCATATAGTTTTACAGACAGAATATTTGATTTATAATTTCCCTAGCTATCGCCTGAACTCCCACTGAGGGGACTGGGGTTAAATTTGACATATCAGTGTTGGTTGATAATATAGTCAAACTTTGAAGTAGTTTCTCATTTAATCTGCATAATATAAAGGATGTATTTTACTGCTCTACTTTCATCTCAAAAATCTCTGAATCACATATACGAAGATGAAAAGAACTGTGAAAATTAGGTCAGTGTGAATAAATAGTTAGCATTGACAAAGCTTTTAAAACTATGTATAATTTCACTATTTCTTGCAAAGATAATATAATTCAATTCAAAACAAATTCTTAGCCTTTATTACTTAGCCATATTAAATGGACTTGCACATTTTTCATAGATAGGCTGGTTGAGTGATCTTAGTCTGCAATTATATGGGTAGAATCTGCTGCAAACGTCAGACTTAAAGGTAAACAGACTTGAACCTTAAATATATTTCATTTCATCACACTATCATATTTGAGTGATACAGTATCAGTTCTCAGTATAATAATTTTCTTTTTACAATGTCCTAACAATTTATTTTGCCTACTTTTCCTCAAAATAACACAAAAATATCTCAAATTTAGTCATAACAACCGTTTTAATCTATATAAATAACCACAAACAATAATAAACCTTAAACTTCCTTGTCACTTTTAAAACTGTTACTTTTATTAAAGTAAAAAAAAACACAAGAGGGGATTTCTAACTGTTAGTAAAAACACAAGAGAGGATTTCTAACTGTTAGTAAGAAAAAAATCATGAGTGCTTGTTTAAAAACCATGAGTGCTTGTTTAAAAAACCATGTCCTGTTTCATGCAGTTTTAATAAAATTTAATTTTGGTAGCGTTTCCTAACTACAAGTATCATTTTCACCTGTTGATATGAATTTTTTAAATGAACAAATAAAATTTATTAAATGCTTAAAGTTACATGCCTCTAAATGAGCCAAAATATTCAGGAAAATCAACCATTAAGAGCAAGATATTTAGTTATAAGTTGTAAAATGTTTTGGAGACAAAATAGGTGAAAATTCAGAAATCTTGAAATTGTGGCAAAAAGCATTGCCTTTCAGATAGAAATTTGTTATTTATACCTAAGTGAGTCAGTGTGTGTTGTGCTTTTGACCAACTGGGTGGCATGCACATCAGTCTATGATACCTTTTGTGTCTTGTTGTTTTCTATTTGGAAACACAAAAAGATGACCTTACAACTTATGTTTTAAAAGAATTATGAAGTCAATGATTAACTGATCTTGACCTCTGAGAATCATGACATGATATTTCCATCAAAGGCATAGATAACAGAAATATCCTAGCCAGTTATGATATCACACCTCATGACATTCTTAAAACTTAAAACTTGCAGCAAGTAAAACTTATGAACCAGATATCAAAATAAGTAAAATATTCTCTGAAAGCATATATATTTTTCTATGGCTACAGGTAAAATTTTTTTTACAATTTCCATTTACATAAATGATACACATTTTTTTGAAGAGATCTACTTAATATAATAATATGCACTACTTAACGGTGTGAAGGAAAACAATGAACTTAGGGTACAAAAAAATTGTTATACGCTGTAACATTTGGGTATTTTTTACTGTTAGACACAAGAAAACAACAACATATTCAATCAAAATTAGATTTGATGGGTAAGATGTAGATCATAGGTTGGTCATTTTGAAAACAGTTTGTATACAGAATTTATTTCAGTTTGATTGTGTAGGTAGATATACGCTTATTATTAATAGACTCACTATTGAGTAAGTTTCCTGGAACCAACCAGTACTTAGAGCAATGAGTGCCTTACTCAAGGAAACAACGACTTGCCACTCAGACTGAAAGGGTTTGAACCTTTGCTACTAGCAATCACAAGAACACTAGTCCGACACTTTAACCACTCTGTAATGCTGTCATCTTTTAAATCGCCATACACTCATGTTTTAGTTAAAGTTACTAAATGTTATATTGCTCAATTTCAAATATTAAAACAATCTTAACTTTGTCACTTAAAATTAATTTTTTCAACAAACAAAACATTTAGAAAATGATGATTGTTTCAGATGTATACTTTCAATATAACAAACTATTGTAACTTTTTTGTAAAATGAGTATTACACATTTCTGTTTTATTTAAAAATCTACAGATAAAATATTTTGCACAATACAGTTGTGTGAACAAAATGTTTAGGTCTTTGACTAAAATATGTCAATTCTGACCAATTTTAACACTGGTCAGATCGAAATACGACAATCTTGTGAAATAAGTGATGTTGAGTGTTAAACTTTTGTTACATTATATAAACTATGCATGTGACAAAAAAACTGGCCCAGTAGTGATGCTCTGCTATATCATTTTCAGTAAAAGGCATAGAATGTTACCAATATTTTAACATGCAGCAATACAAAATAGATAGAAACTTAAACTTTCAAATGGTGTACACTATAAAAGGATCAAATCTACATCCATTAAAATATTTTGGGTAATTTTTAGCCGTCCAGTTAGCTCAAGAAGTACAGCGTTGGACTGTAAATCAGGCGACCTGGGTTTAATTCTCCGATGGCGCAGAACACTTTCATTGCGATTGTGATGAAATCCTTTCTACACTCATTTACACTGTAACCTCTGCTCTGGCATGTACAGAACATATCAGTTCCTTGTGAAAGTTAAGGCAACTGGTTATGGTAAACTGCTTGACAACTTACCATGGAACAATGCGGTGGCTAGTCAAATATATAAGATGTAACAGGCTTTTTATAGTTTACGATGGTCAAGCCCGATGTCGATGCTTTGCCCAGAAGCAAATATATCTCAAATCGATGTCATATTTATTAAGGACTATGCAGTGGCTGACCTGTGCTCTGGTAAATTCAATGTAACAACTTGTCGTGATCTAAACTACCAACGCCAACACCATTTAGTTTATTTGCTATCTACATCTTTGATATATTCAGTGATACTGTAACTGTGTCAGGTGCAAGTCTGATATCTGTTAAACTGTTATTTAAAAACATTTAAAATCTTGATTTTAACAAGAAAGACTGAAACAACTATCCCCAGAAATTGACAATAACCTATCATCATGGAAAATTAACAAAACAAATATGTTTAAGCGAATAATTATTTAAATATTAATTAAGAGTGACAAATTTCTTACCAAATTTGTATATTTCTTCTTTGTCAACACCAGGAAGCTACTTTCGTTTTGCAATCAAAATGAAATATTCGAATTATGTATTTTTCGCGAAGACATTTATAAATGTTGATAAAGGCAGATGTAATATTAAACACACTTAATTACATTATGTTTTAATGATATAATAACATATCATTACAGCAAAATCAAATAAAAACAATGAAATTCTTATAGTGAAGAAAATGCGAACACACGGCTACTGTCAGAATTGATTGCAAAATGGCGAAGCAGTCGGCGGAGTGGAAGAAAATCATTTCGCAGCGGTTGAAGACACGAAATAGACATGAATATCAAGAATTTTCAGATTTAATTGATATACGTAAATATTTAGACATAACTGTCACCATGCATTTCTTATTCTTTAATTTAGTACAATCTGTTTAAAATTACCATTTTCCACAATTTTGGTAAACAGCTAAATTATGATAAAAATTAAAATAATTTATTTTATGTTTGCAAATTACCTGGAGTTATTATAATTTAGTGTTTGTTTACAGTTTTGCCATTTAACCTCTGTTTAGGTATCTAGACAGACGACGACTGTCTGCTGACTTCGATGAATGTTTCTAGCCTAGGCCAGGGTCTCCCTCCCTACAGGCGAGGGCGAGTGACCCTTCAAATTTACTTGCCCTCCTTAAAATGGGGTGAGAGTGGTTTCCTCGAACTACCGGTTGGTTGACCTGATCTTTTATTACTTAATTTATAAAGTGTGAACAATATCTATTCATTCTATTGTATAATGGCGCGTCAATTATCCCCGGTCTTAATGTGTGGCATATCACACATTTTCATGCAAGATATTGAAAATTTGTACCTATTATTTATTCTTTTCTTCAGTATAATAGTAATATTTACATAAAAGCATAACACAATACAAAATATCTCAGTAAACAATCAACATCATAGAAATATATATACATATAAAAGTACCACCTGAAAAAACTAATAATGAGTCAAATTTCTTTTAAGTTTTGTAAAAAATTTTAATTTTTTAAAGTTTTATACCTAGTCATAAGGTCAATTTCAGGTTTTCGTTAGAAAAAAATAATTTACATTAAATGTTTTGAGAAACATCATCTGGAGAATCTTACTCACCCTGTTGGGTGAGTTTGATCATTTTTTGTCAAGGCCTGTCCTGGATATATATAATCTCACCAGTGCACTGAACAGTATTATAAACATGAAAGGGGCCTCTGTGGCCGTGTGGATAAATTTAAACAACTTGCCCCTTACTGCTGTGGGTTCGAATCCGGACAGGGACTTTGGATTCTTTCATGTGAGGAAGCTATCCAGCTAGCTTACGAAACGTCGGTGGTTCTACTCAGGTGCTTGTTCGTGCCTGACATAATACACGGAAGGGCACTTGTGGTCTTCCTCCACTAGTAAAGCTGGAATGTCGCCATATGACCTATACTGTGTCTGTGTGACGTCAAACACAATCAAACAAATAAACATGAAAAATCCTCAGGCACTGACCAGGATTTGAACGCTGGACCTCTCGATTACAATGTGACAATTTTGTGTACACTCAATCACGACACTAAAGGGTTAACCAGCCCAACAGAAAGGCTGTTGGAAATGGCCTATACATGTACATGTAATTGCTATAAGCTTACAGTATGAAAGTCAAAAGAGAATTCCACCAGTAGTGGGATTCAAACTGACTCTGGATAAGGAATCTGATGCTCTATTCTGTCATGAAATTTAGATGCCATGTGATCAAAGTGAATGTCAGATGTAACATCATGTTTCGAAGATTGGCTTAAACCCCATTAACACAGACAATTAATCCTGCTTTGTATACTGTATCTTTCTATTTATTAGATTATTTATATTTTAGATCATATATCAGGGCTTTTTTTCCTTCTAAAGGGGCCCCTCTAGGTCTGCTTCCCCAAAGAAAAATTCTTTAAAATCATGCAGTTTTCCCCAAAAATTGAATTTGCATCATTTTTTTTCTTCCCCTTTTGGAAATATACTGTGTCCCCAAAATTACGGGCAGGGCTGCTTCCCCAACCTGTGAAAAAAAGCCCTGTATCTATTGATATTATATTAATTTTGGGACAATAATTGGCATTTCAAAATTTCTTTAAGTGATTGATTTGCAAAGGCACAATTGCATCAAATATGTCACACAAGTTGATTATATAGAACAGGTCAAACAAACACCAATATGTCTGTTAATTTATAGTCATTGGTATTGAACACTGTGAAAAAAAATCCCTTCAACATATAAAAAAAATCATAGCAATATAATATTTTCAGGAATAATATCACAAAAACTGGTGTACCACAGTATATTGCACATCCCTAGTCAATTGTAACATAGCAAAGAGAGGGCTAGCAGAACATTTTTGCCCAATTTACTTTTTGTCTGTCCCATCACTCCAGTGAGAAAGTATTTTTTTGGTGTAAGAAATACAAGGATATTTCCACCTCACAGTGTGGCCATTCATTAGGGTTTTGACTGTTGAACTGTCCGTACAGAGCAGGGGCTTTTATCAGGGTGAGGGTATGGTTTGGGGTCAAAATTCTAAAATTCAAAGTTCTTGCTTTAAACCGGATGGGAGGACTGGGGTAATAATTAAGTGGTATTTAAATCAAGTGGCTAACCAAACAAGCAATTATTATACTATCTTTATAACAGCCATGTTTGCAAACTGTTTTCATTTTGATATAATGGAGAAAAAATAGATTGTGACAATATCTTTACTTTTTTTATAGAGAGCAAGCTATTTGAACAAGTTGCCACACTTAAGTCCAAAAATGTTCAGCTTACTGTTGAAACTGAAAGGTTGCGGGCAGACAATTTGAGTTTACAAATAAGAGCAGATAGTGGGTAAGTTGGTTGATGTTCATTTAGATTTATTTTTAAAGTGTTTAATTCTCATTTTTTATTTGTCTCTTTTAATGAATTTTCTCTATTTGTAATTCTCGATCAAGGCTAGACCTACCATCCCCTGGAATATTAATGTTGGTTATGTTGGTTATGTCTTATAAACATGAAACTTGGAATACTTTGTTATAATAAAGCTAGATTTTAAGACAAGGGGGCATTATTCTGAAAGATGTATTTTCTAGAGATATTTTTAAGTAGAATGATTTCAAGTTATCAAATGACAAGACACATTTGTTAGACATGAGAATACATTCTTAAAGCTAAATATTTCGAGTTATGCCACTTTTTAATGTAGAACTTTTGTTAAGATTGGTTATTGTTATTAAAATGATTTAAAGACATAGTACTTATTCCTGGTCTACTTGCAATAAGAGACAAGTCAAAGCTGAAGAAAGGGACATAATTAAGTTGATCAGTTTTTCTAGATGTATGCCCCTTTTTAACAAAGAAAATAAACTTTTGATTGTAAGTCTGTACACATTACATACAAACTTGAACAAAATAGTCGTAAAATACCAAAATCAATCTGTCTTGTGTTGTATTCATTTAAAGTAATAATATATTTAATCATGAGTATACTTAGGAAATACATTGTTTGAAATTATGCATTTTAAGAATAATTATTGCAAGATTAACATTTGACAGTTATCAAATTTGGCAAATCAAGGGTATTAAGTCTGAATTTCATCCAAGTTTGTCTGCTTGTTATAACTTACTAAGTTATATTCCATTTTTTATTAACAGATAAAACTTAACCCATTACTTCATATACACGCCTTTAAACGCCTTTTTCACCCCCCCCCCTCCTTTTTGTTGTCTGAAATGATGAAAAAATGCCTTATTTAGGCCCCAAACACTTGTTTTTGTTTGAGAAATGTTGTTAAAAAAAGTGACCTCTTTTTCGGCACGGCCCCCCAACCAAAAGATACATCAGGGGGTTGCCAGAAGGGGGATGTGCCCCCTTCTGTTTGGGGGGGTTTGAAGGGGGGCGGAGTCCCCCTCATCGCCAAGAAAATTTTGGACTTGTGAGAGGCTGTAAATGACCCCAGATTGATCATAAGGTAACGTGTAACCAACGCTGAAAAGCATTTGACTCTATCTCAATCCATTGAGAAGTTGCAGCACTTTGAAATCAATTTGATGGAAAAAAATCAACGCAAAATAGTGATTTTTGGCAATTTTGAGATGTCCCCTCGTTGCCATGGTAACAGAAAATTTAAGCCTGAGCATGTTGTTGCAAGGGCAATGGTCCAGTCAACATTTGTGCCAAGTTTGATTAGTGTTGAAGCAGTTTTTATAGTATTATAGCAATTTGAACTTGTAACGGGAGACTTTTCAATGAAAACAGCCATTTTTCACAAAATGCTCATGAAGCAATGGGTTAAGGATTAATTGAAACAATTAAGTTTACATGTTGTGAAAGGAATCAATCTATCTAGCTTTCAGAAGGTTGGTTATTTTTCTGTAACACCAGATCATGATGAAAGGGCACCTGTGGTCTCCTTCCAACAGTATAGCTGGGGGGTCACCATATTACCTTTGTAGTGTTGATATGACTTACAATTCAAGAAATTTATAACTACATGTATGTCTAATTGATGGTGGCCTATAATTTGTGTGATTTTAGGGGAGCTAGTGGAGGTGGAAGTAGCAATGAGAGGACACAACAACTTGAGCAAAAGCTTTATAGATTACAAGAGGAACTCACAGAACTTCACAAACGAAGAGGGGAGGTAAGTCTGACATAACTTATGAAAGGTAAAGGGGAGGTAAGTCTGACATAATTTGACAAGGTAAAGGGGAGGCAAATTCGACAGCATTACACAAAAAGAGGGGAGGTAAGTCGGACAGCATTACACATATAGGGGAGATAAATTTAACATAACTTCACAGAGGGGAATTAGTCTGACAGAACATCACAAATGTAAAGGGAGTTAAATCTGACAGAACTTTACAAACATAGAGGTTAGGTCAGTCAACCTTTTATTGAGAAAGATTTTATTGGTATTGCTGGGTGTGTTCCCACTATAGGGGGGCATTTAGATTTACCCTTGTCCATCCGTCCGTCCTTCCGTCGTTCTCTTTTTGTGTCGCAAGTAGCTAAAAAAGTTCCTGTAAGGTTTCATGACTCTAGGTCAATTACTTTTGAGTTTACGTGCGACACAAGTTGAAAATTGCAAATTTTTTACTAGTCAAGGG